CGCTTTGCCCACACAACATATGTTGTACGCTGAATTTAGAGGCACACTCGTGTCCATTGTGTTGCATTAGTCTAACACAACAAAATAATTGATCCGGCTATCAAACCTAAACAGTTTGAGAGAATCAAAAGAGAATGGAAAGAAAAGGTGGACAAAGTCTTATTGCTTGCAAAAAAAACAGCAATAGCGCAAAGGTACTTTGAATAATTACTGATATGGTTCTTTGGGTGTGCATAAAGACAGTAAATGCTATGGGCACTGTAGCAGTGTTCTGCGGGGCGAGAACACCTGATGCACACCTGAACAAATAGCTGGGGAGGAACAAAGAAATTCTGCATGTCTGAAACAGAAGATACTCCCATGTTATTCTGAGGTCTAATGTTGCAACAGAAAACAGTTGCTTTTGTTTATTAGAAAAAAATAAATAAAGAATTAAGAATGGGAAGACGCTGAGGCCCTTGGTACCTGGAATATTCCAAGTCTGATTTCAAAAAAGCAATGTCAGCCAACACAAGATTAGAATTACAGTTAAAGGACACCTTGCTGTGTCTTTTATTTCCCCCCAACACTCCCATGCTGTACTCAGCCACAGGAAGACTTGAATAAAAAAGTTGGCAACTGAGTAGTATGCGAACTATGAATTAAAAATGAACAGTCCCAATGAATTCGTGTATATATAGTTTGTTTAAAATAAAATCCCAGCAGTGTGGTTTCACTAATATCTAAGACAGCCTATTGCAAAACGCAGTCAGACTGATGCTAATAGCCGCTAAGAAATAAGGGTTCCTACCATTAGGCTTTAACTTAACTCCTTTCAACAACAGGAAATTTCCAGTGTTCCTCACTGGAATCCTATTATGCTTTTCCAGTAAGGTGTTAAGACAACAACTCAGGCTTACTATTTATGGAGCTAGTGACTCTTAAAATATACTCTGGAGTAAGTGGCTATTCCTTTAATCTGTGACCTTAAAATTCAGCAAGAGTTGATATTTTGCTGCTCTTATGTACTGGACTGACCATTGGTCACTGATCTAATCCAGCTGGTGCTGTACCATTGGCAGCATCCACCATGAATTTAGCCATATCAAATTGTCTGACACCCGGTGTCCCCCGCACTGCCATCCTTCCTCAGTGTGAGGCTAATAATTAAGGTTATCTCTTGTTAAAATTGAAGTAGATTGGTCTTTCTCAGCTTAACGGGAATGGTGAGGACAGGGAAGGAGAGCAGAAAATTAATGATGGCAGCCAAAATGTGGAGATCTTTCAGCCAGATAAAACTTAACAGGCACCAAAAATGGAAGAACAACAAATTTCTCTGGAAAGTTGCCTCACATCAGGCATCACAGAACAGCCCAGGGCATGACCTTCTGCCCAAGACAGGGCATGCCCACCAGCTCAAAGCCTGCAGGCACACACTCTTTGGACTTCACATCTATCAGGACACTTTGCTTCCCTCTCCTCCCAGCCTTGATTTCTGCTTCCTAGCTATGTCTCTGCCTTGTAGCCCTTTAAAAGTGATTAGAAAAAGGGAAAGCATAAAAGTAATAATCAGTGGCAAACATCAGGAAGCAGACCTGCTCCATTCAGGATGGAGTCATGACCTCTGTAAATGCAAAGCTATCAAAAAGAACTTTCTAGATCACTTAGAAACACATCATTAGTCCTTGTCACACTGGGACTTGGCTTATTGTGGAAAAGTCATTAGTTTCTTTTCAGATCCTCTGGAGAATTTCCAAAACCTAGCCCTTGCATTTCCTCACGTTGTTCGTATGTAAGTTTGTATTTCAGCCCTTGTTAGCTGGTACAGTACGTCCCACTCCAAGCTTAAATTCATAATTGCAGTAGCCTACTAAGGAAGGCAAAGCAGTCAGGTGCTATGCCACTGTGGGTTCCACGTCTAAACGGAATTAGGAAATACCAAAATCATACTTGCACCAGCCCTCCACCGAGGTTATAAAGCCTTTGGAAGGGATCATGATTTGGGGAGCTTGCGTACACAGCCAGCTCATAACATTGTAGTCTAACAGCTATGTGATGTGTGAGGCCATTAAGATTTCACTTCAAACATTGCATTAAAAACACCCTGACCTTTAAATGGAGTTCAGTGGTGGTATTTAACAGTCTTTTGATAAAGTCAGTTGTTTACATCACAGCAGCTTGCTGTGTAACCCTTGAAATGACCTTCAGAAATCTCCATTTTGTATTTTCTTTCCTGAGTCTCATGACTGGAACCAGAGCTCTTTTAGCATTTTGTTGATGCAGTCATTCTGTAGACTGTGGATTCATTATTTTATCATTTTGAAATGCTAACTTCACATAAAAATGACACAAATTCAACTTTTCCTTGGTCTACTACTCACCCAGAGCTCTTCCTAACTTCTTCCTAGGAGAACATTACCTTCCCATGGCTGGGCAGCTCTATCTATATTGCGTGAGCCTTTTCCCCAGGAGTCTTAATGTCTAAGGTTGCTGTCACATAGTCCTTTAGGAGGCTCTAATTCCCAGACTTCCTACAAGACCCTCAGGTTTTAGGAATGCTCTTTTGCTCCAGTCCACACCTTTTCCTTTTTATGTTTTGTTTCCAAGATAAGCCTATTCTTGCAGATAAAAAAAAACTTACTTAATTGCCTTGTGATTGTGGTTCAGTTCTAATGAAATTGGATTTTAAATAAAAATAAAAAAAATAATATTCTAGATGCAAGAGAAAGGTTCAGAATGTTCATGTCTCCTGATGACTGGAAATAATTTTCTTATAGGATTATTGTATGCACCTGTCTTTTGAATAATTTAATTATACCAATTGATCTGTGAGCCTAGAGTCAGGAAAGCTGAAGAAGTTTGTTCAGTTGTGAAAATCAAGATACTTGCAGAGTAGCTTTAGTACTGATATGCCTGAGTATAAAATAATGTGCTTCTTTTTCTTTTCCCTCTTTCAGCAAAGTTTCTGTTTGAGAAATACGCGTTCACTCAGCAAAACAAAAACAACTTTTAAAGGCTGTTCTCAGTGGAAAACACTCTATGCCCCATTACCTGCTTGAGTGAAACCAGACTAAGAACTTCTGTCATGGCAGCTTTTCTGCTGGGAGCTGTGTTGCTTATTGTTCAACCTGAGATAGTGCCTTCCAGACCGGCTATAAATTCGAAGACTGAGACTTCTTCTCAGTCTGTTCAGAGAGAGCTTTTAAAGAAAACATCTCAAAAAAATGACTTCAAGGAGAACATTCATTCTAATGGATCGTGCCGGCAGCTGCCACAGACTATCATTATTGGAGTAAGAAAAGGTGGAACAAGAGCTTTGTTGGAGATGTTGAGTCTCCATCCAGACATTGCAGCAGCAGAAAGTGAAGTTCACTTCTTTGACTGGGAAGATCATTATAGAAATGGATTGCAGTGGTATATTAATCAAATGCCATTCTCTTATCCCCATCAGATCACCGTGGAAAAAACTCCAGCATATTTCACATCACCTAAAGTGCCTGAAAGAGTTTATAACATGAACGAATCAATGAGACTACTCCTTATTTTAAGAGACCCCAGTGAGAGAGTACTATCAGATTACACCCAAGTGTTCTATAATCACATGCAGAAGCACAAGCCGTATCCATCCATTGAACAATTCCTGATTAAAGATGGTGAACTCAACGTGGACTACAAGGCAATAAACAGAAGCTTGTACTACATTCACATGCAAAACTGGCTGAAGTATTTTCCTCTGGATCATATCCACATTGTAGATGGGGATAAACTGATCAAAGATCCCTTCCCAGAAATAGAGAAAGTAGAGAGATTTTTGAAGTTATCACCACAGATAAATGCTTCAAACTTTTATTTCAATAAAACTAAAGGCTTCTACTGCCTGAGAGACAGTGGTAGGGAGCGTTGTTTACATGAGTCAAAAGGACGAGCGCACCCACAAGTAGATACCCGGTTGCTCGAGAAACTGCATGAATATTTCCATGAACCCAATAAGAAATTTTTTGAACTTGTGGGCAGAACGTTTGACTGGCACTCATTTGTGGCAAGTTAGTGATAAGCTTCAGAACAGATTGTTCCAGTGTACATTTAGAAATTTTAAAAAGGGCATTTAAGCTATAATTTATTTGTAAAGTCCATAAATACTTCTGTACAGTATTAGATTCACAATTGCCATATATACTAGTTATATTTTTCTACTTGTTAAATTTCAAAGCATTTTGTATTGTTTTTCATGGTTGTTAACATTGTGTATGATGTGTCTATATGAAGAAACTAAATTATTTCACTGCAGAAGATGGTCTCTTGAGAATGCGTTGTCTTTTTAATAAATAAGAAATTCATTTCAACAGAACCTTTCAGAAATTATTTGAATACTTTGGCCTTTCTGGACTATTCTGGACTTTCTCCTCCAATTGCTAAGGAATATACTAAACTTTACATTTCCTTTTTTCCTGCTTTAAAGAAAAAAATGTGGTTTAATAATTTCTTTTTCAATGTTGTACTTAGCAAACTGTTCCATCCTGCTTCATAAAATTATTTCCTGATAAAGTGGTGGTACTTATACATATTGGGACATGTACACCCAAAGGACAATGGAAGTGTCTGTGTAATATGACATAAACTGCTGTACTTCCCTTCCTACTTAATGTTATAATAAGTGCTCCTCAACTTCTTTGGCAGTACAGTACAGGTTTCATGGCAGATTTTTAAAGATTCTGTGGGGGCAAGCTCATAAAAGCCAGAGTTATGGTCCGAAATATGGTCAACCTGAAAACTTCCTACAATCTCTGAATGTATATATACTTTATAAAGAAGGAGAGTTGAGAGAAGAGTTTAAGCAATATAGGGACATTTTCAAGGTTGCTTGTGACTGTTCTTATGTTTTATAGCGCATTTATGCTTTGCCATCTCTGGAAACAAACATACCAGAAAAATTAGTTGGTTTACATTCCAGTAAGTAGCAGCTTCATTCATATAAATATTACCACATTTGTACCCCATTTAAGGCTGTTTTCCATAGGTCGAGCAGGAGCTTTCTGCACCTGAATAGTGCCCATGGGCTACTGTTCATTTCATCTCCTTCCAATAACCATGATGCTGTCTTGATTAGACTTGTGTGTTGTGGGATTAACCCCAGTTCCAGGAACTTTTATGGTCTTCCATCTGCTAGAAATGGAAGTTAGATGTTAGTGCATTGGTAAAAATTGCAGCTGTCCTTGTAGTAGTAGTTACAATCTCTTGTTAGCCATCAATTTCTGGAGTTAGAGTTAATCCTGGTTCCGCACAAGGCTTACTATGGAACTTTTATTCTGAACTCCTAATTTTCATTTTATGGTCTTGAGTTTAGCCATTGAATGTGCAGTGGCAACACCATGTAAATTTGAGCTTGTAACTGATCCTTCATAAAATTTAAATGTAGATTCATTAATATTTTTTTTCTGGTGAGATGGTGCAAACTTGGGCACTATGACAAGGTATTGTCTGGATGCAAATATCCCATATTATGCTGCTTGCATGAACATTTGCAGATGCTGCCCCTCTCTCCCACTCCTTGTGCACCTGCCCAAGCTGTATTCAACCTCAGAGAGGTTGGTGTTGTTTTATAAAGTAGACCTTTGACGAAAGCCTACAATGAAATGGTATTGTACTCAATAAAATATTTTCCGAATTGCATCTTTCATTTCTCCTTTGTTCATCAATTTCTAGGTTGGAAGTCCAGAATTTAGGATTCAACTCCATTTTAAATGTTACTTAAGAATTTAGCTGTAGCCTGGTGCATTGATTAGAAAGCAGTTATTTGCTAGTGGGCTGTGCCTGTGTGTTCCATTGCTGACCTAGAATATACAAGGAGGGAAAGTTTCTTGTAGCAATAACACTGAATCTTAAATGAGGCAGATGCCAAAAATAACAGGATTATAGTACCATCACGCTCCTATTAAAGTTTTAGAAAGGATAAATTCAACGGTGTTTTGTGTAAGGTGGGGCAATATTGTTTTTCTATGCTCTTTATTCCATTTCCCTGCTAATGTGATCTCTGCAGGAGTCATCTGGACCTAAGAGATTTTGGCCCAGACACTATTTGGGTCACTATTAATATGGTAGTGCTAGGACCTTGTAGCATGTTCTCTCTAAGTTCAGGAGGATAAGTGACCACTTTAGTGGGACACCCTGAAGCACCAGCTCACATGACTCATGCCCTAGACCCTAAGTTCAAGGCAGCATCACACCGCACGTGTACACCTTGTGCAGGGATGGCATGATCATACAGAACCTTATCCTGGAGATTGCACAGCTAGCTGTGTGGTAGCCATGATGGCAATGGACAATAATTCACACCCACACTATTAATAATGGCAATATTTAGCTGCCGTAGATGTTCAAGAGTTACAATAGTTCAAGAGTTACAATATTTAAAACTAGGATTCTGAGTGTGAATTTTCAGCTTAACAAGGGCAACATTCACTTTCCACACTGTATTTAAATACATTTGCTAGACTGTTTCTAAAGAAGTGCTAAATAGTAACAAAAGCCAAAAGAAGACAGTGAAGAGAGAATGAAAGAAAGAGGCTGAAGCACATTCCGATTGGGACTGTAGAGACGCCAATAGCGAGCTTTGAAGTCATGCAGTATCTATTCATAAAAGAAAAAAAGAAAAAAATCCCTGAAAATACCTTTCCAGTGTTGTGCAATACAGCTCTTTATTTCTGTAAAACTCTACCATCTCAGGTTTAAAGTACAACCACTTAGGTGTTGCTCCAGAGGCCTGTTTCCTCAGGGCAGCGAGCCAAGTCTGTGATTGCTCTTGCAAATATAAAATAAATACAACACTTTATGAGAATTCAATGTCCAATTCGAAGCTTACCACTGCCCTTGAGTACAAGGGGAAATGCCAATCAAGTCATTAGTTAGGGTGGCACTGCAGGACTAAGTCTTGCCCTTTGCATCACAACATGGATTAGTGTGAGTCTTCAAAGCCAGATATTGTACCTGCAGAGGACAAAGTTTAAACTACGATGATTATCCCATGAACAGTGCTGAAAGAATATGGAAAGGGAAGGAAGTTTCCTAGGAAAAAATTACCAAAAGGTACTACTTCATCAAGAATATTGCTACATCTGCTGGTGGTGCTGTGTGATCCTCCTTTTGCATGTGCTTTGCTGTTCCTTGTACCTTTTTCCTGATGTTGTAGGTGAAGTAACATCTTCTGTGCTTGAATAAATCAACATTGTTTTGGAACTTCTCAGAAAAAAATCCATCCTTTTTTTAATCTTACTTGAACCTATTTGCATGGGGGATATGGTAGTTCTGAGTTGATGAGTGTGTGAGACTTACCACCACAGAATGTTTTAGGGGAAAACTTCATTACTTTGGGGCTCGAAGCTGACCGTTCCATATTTCCTTGTCTGCACGCGTTTTCATACTCAGTCTCTGCAGAAGGTCAGGGTTCTCATTCCCTGTTGGCATCCAAACAGATTTCAAATGTCTAAAGAGAACTGAAATGAAATAAGGCATATTTTATTTTCATGTATCTTTCTTCTGCTTTTCCTCTCATGGCTGACCAGATATCTAAGAAAATTCACGCATGCACCCCACAATTTAGAGGCTGTACATAAAAACTACTTCTCAGTAGTTCCTTGAGAGGAATACCCCTTCTCCTTTCCCTTTTTTAAAGTCTGTGACTTGGAAGTCCCAAATTAGCTCACACTAACGAAATTAGTGAATGAAATTATGCAGCAGTACATTAATATATGTTCTGTAATATATGTAATAATAAATAAAGTAATAAAATGTAAAAAAGGGCAAAAATATTAAATTAAACTAACATATGCCAACAAAGTGTGTTCTAGTTGCTCCTAGGTACACATCAGCTGAAATGTTTGCAAGTATGCGCTCCTATAGCTGTATCATTACTCTTTTCTCATTCTTAACCAAGTAACTTTTATTTATATGACTCTACCTAAGTGCCCAGTTATGCTGGAAAATTTTTATGTTCAATGTTAATTCCTTCATTTTGCAATTGTATTGGGAAGGCCAGATACAGATGGAAGCCATGCAACTATCTTATGAGCAAAAAAAACTTCTATTAATATTTTGCTTATCAAAAATAAATAAAATTGCATTTATATCTCCTAGAACATTACCAAAGGAGAGCAGTACTTTCTTTTCTTGCAACAATAATCCATCCACAGTAAATTTTCTGCTTAAGTACCACACAACAGTTGATGCAGTTTTTAAGTTAATAGTGCAATAAACTCAACAGTGATGCTGCAGATTTTAAATGCCTTCTGGGATATATAAAATATGCAAGTCAGGGTGGGGAGCAGCTGGATGCAGGGGAACAGCTGGTCTCATTGGTCTGAGAACACTTTTTTTTTTAACGATATGAGATGTGAAATTATTGGCTTGGATATCACTTTATGTTGTCTATGAAAGCATTGTCTTCAATTAACTTTGAAGTCAATAATACCATGATAATGATATAATCTTTTTACTTGCTATTGACATTAGGCTCTGTCAAAACACAGTTTAAGATACAAACCCCAAAGAGCAGGTGCATGAGGGATCCTTTAGTATAAAAAAATTTGTAATAGAACTCAGCTTCCATTATAAAGGTGCATTGGCTTGAACAAAGGACTGTTCTGAAATGAGTGGCAAAATTCTTCATTATTTAATTTGGATGAGGATTACAGAAACAGGAACCTGTATGAATTCACAGTAAAACAACTATCGTGCCCTCCCCTCCTTGGTTTCAAATCTATCAGTCAGCTGTATTTCAATAATAAGGAACAGGCCATCTTCCATGACTCAATGCCGTTCAGTCCAAATAATGCTTAGTTACAAAAAGAAGAGTTCTTGCAGTATTTCTTACACCAGTTAGACTTCTCAGGGTATCTCCTATTACTGAATTTTGTGAAATTCCTCTTTCCCCTCTAGTATGCCACTGTATCACATCTGTTCTATAATTAACTACTCTATTAACACTCTGTAAGAAAGTAGACCCATGATCTGATGGCACTTTTATAATGTACTGTTCAAATGAAGGGGAATTTGCAGCATTATGGGGTCCAAAACATGCTTTCTGTATATTTGCACTGATGACAGAATCAGAGAATAGTTTGGTTTGGAAGGGACCTTTAAAAATCTTCTAGTCCCAACCCCCCTGCAATGCGCAGGAACATCTTCAACTAGATCAGGTTGCTCAAAGTCCCATCCAGCCTGGTCTTGAACACTTCAAGAAATGGGGCATCTACCACCTATCTGGGCAATCTGTGCCAGTGTTCCACCACCCTCATAATTAAAAATTTCTTCCAGATTCCTTCCATAAATGTGATATATTTTAAAATTTAATTGAATAAAATTCAGCTTATTTGGTCTGTGTCATTGCATTACAGGAGCTACTATTGTCACACCATCACCTGCAAGTAGTTACCTAATGCATCTGGGAAATAGAAAGGCATAATCAAAGGAATATATTTTCTTTGTTGCTAGAGTAGCAGTTATGTTATTGGCAGTATTATGCAACTTTTGCCCATACTACAAATGGTAGCAGTATTTCTTTTCAAGTAATGAAAACCATTCCCTTAATCCATGTAGGAATGGGGTCTCTTTTCCCCTTCTGACTTTGTGTAAAGTACAAAGAGCAGGAATGCATGTTACATAGCCAGATAACAAAAGTTTACTTAAATGTAGCTAAACCAAAGATAACATAAGTGTGCATGTGCTGGAAGAAAATAAATTGGAACCATACTGTGTCTTTGTCTTATCATTCTCTTGCCTGAACATGTGTGTTCCTGTGCAAGGGGAATGTGAGAGGAAAAAAACCACGCTTTGCAGAAACAGAACCTAGTTCCTCCTGGCTGTCACGCTGGCTGGAGCCAGGGTTGGACATCCATGTGAACAGACAAGGACACTGGAAGTGGATAGTAAGGGAATGCTGAATACAGGGGAACATCTTATCATAGCCTCATTCCCTATGTTTACATCCTTACATATGATGAATAAGCACTCTTAGGAAAAACAGCTTCTTGCCCTGTTCTTGTCTGTGCCACCCAAACAGAGAAAAGGCATCCAAATCCATCCAAGTGTCAGCTGGTTCCCGTGCCTTAAGGCCTTTTTTTAAAAGGGAGTGTAGTATAATGCAATTAGACTTATTATTCACCTAAGTATCTAATCTTCCCCTTTTTTGTTTTTAAATTTGTACTGAGTTTTCCATCTGCTACAAATAAAAGGGTTTGATGAATAAATGATTTACAGCCTGCAGGAGGAGAAGAGTTCATATTAAACATTTTGCAGACAGGAGACTTGCAAAAGAGGATATTTTCTCATAGAAAAAAAAGAGCATCTGTGGACCAGTTGGTTTCTTGCTGACTAAGCCAACTGGGTTTCATACTATTTTTGGCAGTTTCCTTATTCTTGTGTGGGCTTCGGTTATATGAATTCCATAAGATATCTATTATTGAATATAGCTATATATCATTGAATATCAGGCGTGTTATGTTTTATGATGTTGGCATTAGTTTTCTAAGTTTATGTTAAAATCCTAGGGCCGTTTTTTCATACTTAATAAACTTGAGTCAGCTAATGCTCAGACATTCATAAACCAAAAAGAAAATAACATAAAAGTTAAACTGCCTCAAATGCTCCTTTTTTGTGATTCATACAACGGGTTTTTTTCTGCAGCCTTATGGAAGAAAGTTAAATTTCAAGCACGGTAAATAAAGGAAAGAATTTACTATCCCTTACAAATAGGGCAATGCATAAAAAATGGATTTTAGCAAGTGAAGTAACTGTTCAAGAAGTTGAACAGGGATTGACAGCTCAGGAAAGTGAAAAGGAAAGCCTTCCCTGTTCTCAGAACAAAGGTAAAATAGGTGTCACAGACTTTGTGGGGACCTGCAGAGTTCTGGTATGTTCCCTCCACCTTATCACAAGCAGGAGAGTTTTACTGCCTCTCACGCGTCACCAAAAGATGCTTTTTCCTCTCCTGTGCCCCAGGTTACTAGCCCTGAATTGGTCTGTTTAGCTGTGAGTATACTGGAAATGACAATTTAAACATAAAGGCAAACGTGGCTGAGTAGAACCGTCTCTCTTTGCCACCTACATAACTGCTTGCCTTACAAACAGTGACGCTGAACCAGCTGGGAGGAGAATGTGCCCAGTGCAGGCAGCAGGAGTACATTGCACTGACATCGCTGCTAAACTCTTCATTACCTTATGCAGCAGACAGCTTTGGCTTTGTTCCTACTAACTGAAGGGCCTCAGCTCTTCAAAATTGTGGCCATTTCTTTGGCAGACAGGCCATCATCTCTTGCGTTTGATTGTCTAGTAATAACTACTTGCCGGGAGGGTGATGCCCCTAAATTTCTTTTTCCCCAAACCAGTGATTCAGAATGTGATTTCAGCAGATACAAGCCACGGTTGAGCACTCAAAGATACTGCTTAATCTGGCCGAAGCTGGTCAGAGCTGTGCCAGAACAGGAGTGGATTCAGCTGAAAAAAGAACCCAAACAAAAACTGTTTTTTCAGCTGCATCAGGTCTCCGGTTCAGATCATCACGCAGTTCTGCAAACACAGGCAACGCTGAGCAGACTTGACTGTGAGACAGCTTTTCATTCCAACACTGCTACCGAAAATTAGCCTATCAAAATACAGAAGTCCTCACACATTGCAGCACTTTGAGATACCCCTGCCCTCTATTTGTACTGCCTTAGGGCTGGTGTAACTTTTTGGGAATTATCCTGTAAATTGGATCAGAGAACTGGTATATTTTTTTTTTTTTTAGATTTGCTTTAAAGCACCAGTCATGCAGAGACAACCAGAGAAGTGGCATTCTGTGGCCATTGTGGGAGGTGATACCAATTTTGCCACTCAGTGCTTTGTGCTGTGACACCACAGCCCTGTTGGGTACATCGCAGAATGACCTGTCGTCCCCCATTGAATCTTTCACGTTCAGACCAACCTGTAAACTGACAAATGCTCTTGACAAAATGTTTAAATGGAATGAATTCCCATACCTCATTTTTACCTCTTGACTGACATTAAACATAACAGTATTCAAACACTGTAAGTAAGGAGAAGCATGTGGTAAATGACCTTCAAACCCACCTGTGAGGACACCAGCGAAAGTGCAGAATTCCCCATGGCTCTCAAAATGTTCATCTCTCGAAGGGTTCCATTTACTTTTCCATTCAAGCCTTAATTTCTTTGGCTGTCTGCCAACAGAGGGTAGAGGGTCTGAGATAATTCCTGTTTCTGAAGGAGACACCTTTAGTATTACTCTTAGCCAATTTCACAAGGGATCTGTGCCACAGTTTCGTATTTTAGTTAAATATGTGATGGGTTCAATCAGTCAGAAAAAGAATGAAACTGTCTTCCCTATTCCAAAAGAATATACAATTCTTGATCATGTTTAACCAAAATTCTAGTAATTTGGAAAATATTTTTCTAAGAAGTAGGATTATTACCTCATTCTGCTCTCAGATACACTGATTAAACCTAGTGTCCTCCATCATCTGAGAAATGGAGACAATACTTTAGGTCCATAGATATAAATTATAGTATGCAATCATATCTTCTGAAGTAGTGAGAGAGCAGGAAGGCTACCTTTTCCTCTTGCTGGTGAACTTTTAGTTTCCATTATATTTAATGCCAGACTTGCTTTATGCCCGTGAGACAAGAATTCTACTTAGAATATTTTAAATACCATTAATAACCCTGGTAAATTTCCCTTTCTTATCTGTAAAACCAATTTCTGAGAACTTGTTCTTAACTTGGGCAAGTGGGAAATGTATCTAAAAAAAATACTGACAAATGAATCTGTACCGCTCTGGTTTCTGCTACAGAGTGGTACTGACAATTCTCCTACAAAACCGGTAGAGTCAGTGGATTCAGAGTTAAAGTTAGCAATTCCCGGTCTGACTGAAGCCACCACAGTAAAATAACACCTTTTAAGTCTTTTAAGGAATCAGATTTGCTTTTATGCATGATTCAGTTAATGGCTACATTCAGCACATTTGATTTGTTAATACACTATACTAGTTTCTAAGGCTATCACAGATATACCATTACCTGACTAAACATCTTTCAAAGTACCAATGTCACAATCACTACCATGAAATAGCTACAGTTTACTGATGATACTTTATACTTATATAATACGTATATTATAATACATATATTATAATACATTATATTATATTAGTATAATACTTATATACTAATATAATAATTCCTTCATAATATTTTAAATATTCCTTCATAATATTTTAAAAGATCCCTGAAATGCAAATAGTATTAAGCTAGACAATAACATTCAAGTTATGTTTAGAAGTCATAAAAAAAGCAGATAAGTCAATGTTTCTGAGGAAAACAAATGCAAACGTCTACGTTTAATAAGGACAGTGAAAACTTTAATGTGTAGGTAAAACAGGAACTTATCCTTAAGCACATGCACCAGAGCCCTACATGGTAAACTATGCAGTATCAATTTACCTTGCTCCGAAAATGGAAAAGCTGAGGAATGAATCAATGGTCCCCACAAGAAAGAGAAATAATAAGTATTTTAAATCAATGCCTTTCAACAGTATATTCAGCCAGAAATAGATACATTGTAAATTTGCCTAGTGAGAAGTTGGCAGGTAAGAGCCGTATTTTTAAAGATATTTATGTATCTGGAAAAGCAGAAAGGTAGCCACTGGGATTTTCAAAAGCACCTTCATAAGTATCAGATTCTTTGTAGGGGCTTGAATACTGTGTCTCTGATAGCCTCCTGAAGGCTTTGCGAATATTGTCACAGGGAATGGTCTCTGCCTTCAGAAAGAAAAAAAAATAAAAAATACGGAGTCCACAACTGGAGAAAAAATGCTACATTTTAAATATCTTTTAAAATATCTTTAAAATTAAGTGATGAAAGTAAAATCTTCTAACCTTTAAAGACACCTAGCACTTAAAGGAAGATCCTTTCAGTGTAGACTACAATTCTTCTGTCTATGCCATCTCCAGCAATGAGCTCTCTAGTTTAGCTGAACCTTTTCTGAAGTCTTACCTTCTCGTTAGGCAAAATTAAAACCAAAACCAACCAGAGGGCAGGGGGGACCTACCTCAGCTCTACCTTCTATGGAATAATTGCAATCATATCACAGGAATTTAGCGTTGGAAGTGAAATAACAGAAGATACCCAAATCATCAAATAAAATACATACTCATTAGACATACACCAGACTTTTCCAGGTGGTAAACCAAACTCTCAACTCATGTAAATCAACGCAGGTTCATTAAAGCCAACACACTTTGTTATCATATACTTTTCATCATTGGAAAAGGCACTTGAAGAAAACAAAAGTTCTCTGTAGTTGTCCCATAATCCCTCTGCACTTCTGAAATGGTGCAAAGGACTTTATCAAAATGAAACTAATCTCCTCTCTCCCTGGTCCCAGAAAAGAATAACAGGGTTATTTAGCCATCTTTCTTAAACCAGGCAAACCATATGACAGCAAAAAAAAAAAATCTTTAAAATTCCATAGCACAGTTGGATAGAGCCAGATATCTTTCAAAGAACAATAAATCATGCAGAAATTAGCTAAACTCTAAGTGTTCATGAAAACAACTCATATCTCACAAAATCCCCTCCGCCTAAATAAGCACATTTCAGTTTTCAGTTACCGCCTGTCACTCCAATGCATGCTATGTAAACTTGCCCTGCACAGATTTGACTTGTTCATTCTTTTACAGAGTTAATTTAAAACCATGCCTGCTCTACAAATTTTCCAGCAGGACAGTCAATAATCTGCTAACTTGATATGTTGCTTTACAGTTTATCACAAAAAAGACAATGAAGTTAAATGCAGCAGAAGGATGCAGCCAGTCCCAGCAGTTAGGGTTCATTGATAGCGTGTTCTGCAGCCCAAACTAAAGATTTGTAGTGGATCAAGTTATTTTTCTTTTACATCCCTAGAAAAGGGCACTAAATTACCCATATTTTGATTCCTGTATCTCAAGTGTAAGGGAGAGACAGCTAATGAATGAAAAAAGGTCTTGTCTTCTGGCTTTCTTGGAGCTTGTCTATCAGAAAAGGGGTTACCAGGGTGGGTTTTTTTGCTTTTTCTACTATATTAAGTGAATGTCTCATGCAAAGAAAATACCAGTTTCCTTCTCTCTGTTTCATACTTCAAAATAAAATAAAAAGAATATGCAGGAGCTGCTGCTGAGGCAAATGCTAATTCGCTCATGCAGGCAAGTAATACAGCAATAAGACAAAGCAGACAACTGCAGATTGGTTTATGAGATGTGGACTGCAAGAACATCCATCATTCCTTTGAAAGGCACCTATTAATCATCTCCTAACAACTTTTTAGCCTCCATAGACTGTCTCTGAGAAAAAGCAATGACTCCTAATCTGTCTGTCCAGGTTGAAATGCTAGTTTGAAAAGCAGAGGCAACCACAGGCACTGCCCTTTATTGAATGAAATGTGTCTGAAGGATCATGCTAATCTTATAAGAGAGATCTCTCACATGATCGACACGGTGAGCAGAGAAAGACTTTTATAATCTGCAGAGCAAGGCCATGACTACGCTCAGATGCCAGCTGTAGTTTAGATAAGAAGACAGAGAAATGGAGTTGCTAAGCATTTTTGCTCTTTTTTTCTTATTATATAATTCATAGAGATGCTCATGGAAGAAAGAGAACCAGCTCTGCCAATAATATCCCCAGAGGAATACTGTGGAATCTCTTTTTTCCCTCAATTTGGTCTAGATCAGTAGGTGTCCTCAAAAAGGCTCTCTCCTGACACATGACGTTATCATCAAATGTAGGTTATCTCAAGGACAAAAAGTGAAAGTTAACACAAACTTCTGAACTGGACATTAATAGCTATCCCTGATATTTTAATTAATTACTTCCATGAGATTGCTTTATTTACTGTGAATGTCTAGAGGTTTTCTTGCAAAATCATAAGGATACGGTATCACTGAGACATGGTAGTGCTGTTCTTACTGAGCGTGTGCTAAGGCCACTTGTCTTGATTGTCAGCTGGGAAAAAGAGGATTCAGGAAAGCAAAATGTAGCTTTAGGTGAACCTAGATGTAAGGACAAAAGGGGCTATACTGCCCTGTTTCTGCCCGTTTGCGTAGAAATCATGAAGACGAGAAGAAAAGAACAGGCAGAAAGAACAAGGTGCTGCAGCAGTGAGGTCAATTATTATTTTCAATAGATTTATATATTTAGCTAAGTTAAGTTAAAGATAGCACTACATTCTTTTCTAATGAACTCAACAAAGAAAGCAAGCAGATACATAATATATAGCAGTATAAAATGTTTGTAAATAAAATAATAAACTCTTGAAAGGATCAAGCTTTTCAATATTTTTGAAGTGCTTATATTGATATTTCATTTGCAGGAAGTAACAACGTTCCTTTAAATCATTGAGAGTAATTGAACAGATCTGTTTGCTGTTCTGAGGATTAAATATAGGAAATGTAAGTTGCCACTCTATAGTTAATGGTCCCATAAAATAAACAAAGTCTTATTCTGCTTGACTTTTGTGGGTGAGTATCAGAATGAAAATTAATTTTTCACCTAAACAAACTGGCATCAAATCATTTAAAAGCTTATACGCTTTCTAGCAAGATATATCTCATGTCTTCTTACAAAAAGTAAACAATGCAAAATGTCATACCTTATACACTGTTTGCAAAAATTATGTTCCATTGCTGCTCTCCCTGGTTGGCTGTAAAAAACACGTACAGGATTTAAACAATGTCTGAAAGACCTTGACAACATTACTTCAGATGTCCAGATGGTATATAACAAAATTCTTTATGGCTTTACTTGCAAAACCAGTCTCACAATTCTGATTTTTTTTTTTTTTTTTTTTTTTTGTGCTATACTTTCTGCTAAGTGTAACTTCAAACATGTTTGCATTAATGTTGTCAGGTAAGATTCCAAAACAGAATAAAAGAACTACAGGTAACTCACTATCATTCCTTAAAATTGCATGAGTACTCAAGTATGAAATCAGCTTGGGATTCTGGAATAAGAGGAACCCTTTGAAGATGTTTTGGGAAACAAACAGCTTTTATCCAGATCTTGCCAATTAGACCCCTTAAAATCATATCATTCTAGCATTTGTCACTACTCCAATTTACCCACAACTCTCAATGCTTTTCAAATCAGTGATTTTTGAAGCAATGTGACTGGAGTTAAAGAGCCCAGAT